ACCACGTTGGCGGAGAACTTCGGCCGTGTGTACGCGTGTGTGTTTGTTGTGTGTGTGTGTGTGTGTGTGTGTGCGCGCGCGCGCGCGCGCGTATATGTGTGCATACGTGCGTCGCTTTGCATCGCGCGCGATAATAGTCACGGGTGGGACCCCCTTGACGCGCGCTCGCCTCGAGATCGCCCGAGATACCGGGTCGACTACTGACGAGTCCCGCAGTCCTCAGAGCATCGCGATCGACGATGGATCGATCGCCGACTCGCGCGATCCAGACCGATCCAGACCGGTGGAATCTAGCGGAGAGGCTACAGGGCGCGAGTACGACGGGAGTTACGGGAGTACACTAAGTGCCTGATATCGAAGATCACGCGAAGCGGAGAAGCCGATCGAGAGATACTCCGACTTAACTAAACGTGGTACTCGAGGAACGGGCCGAATGAAATCGTGGCGATTTTCTTTGATTGGATTTGAGAACACGCGCGCTCGCCCGTGCCTTTTCAGATTTGACGTGCAGTGTGTATAAAAAAATTGAATTATTTTCGGAACGATATTCGGAACGAATATAGACGGGGTGTGCCTTATAAATCGGGATCATCGAAAGCTGCTTGTTAATTGACACGTAAAGCCATTTGGTAGCATTGACATCTTAGTCGATACGTTTTAATGACAGTTGGATTGATATCTCGTTGTGACCAATCCTTAACGAACGTCACGAATTTATCGATCTTGTCTAGGTGGCCTCAGCTGATCTTTCTCACTGAGCTAATCTCACACCGATTTCAACTCGTCTTATTTCCAACGGAAGCACCGTTTAAATATTGACAATTTATAATTCTGTATCAACATTTCGGTGACGACTTTCGGCTCACCGAACGTGTTTGATAATTTGCATCAAACACGTGACTGCTCGGTAACAAACTGAAGATTCAGTTAAAGTGAACGCTATCTAAGAAGAACAAAATGCTCTTCAAAGGCAACAGTTCACGGCTGGAACTGCTGATAGGGAAGATTCACGCACACAAGGAACCACAACAGGACGAACAAGGCAAATCTAAAGGTCTGAGGATAAGTTATCTTTCTTTATTTTCCTCTCTTCTCCCGTTATCCTCCTATCTCTCCTATATTCTTCCTATCGATGTGTTACCGCTCGATTTTCATTTACCCGAAATTCTACTGTCACATTTTTCCACAAAATTTGATAGTTTGAGGAAGTAACCTTCGCGGGGAAAAAACCTTCCTTCATCTCATTCTATAACTTTTTACTCGGCGCCGTGGAACTTCGGACTCAGACTCAGCGCGAAAAATTTTCTCGGCGTTAAATTTGGCCTGATGTAAAATTATTAAAAGTGTAAAAGAATGCCATTAGAGCTAACAAATGTCGACGTGCTATTAAAATATTCTTGGTTAAGTTTGAAATAAAACTTGGAATTCAGTTTATATTGATTCGCATGATTATACAAAGGCAATTTAAGGCAAATAACTCTACCTGTGGCTATATTTACATTTCTTGTACTTATTTGTTCCGTTGGAAGGAATTTAGGGATTTTGTCCATGCGCAGTTTATCATGAGTATTGTCTCGGGCGCTATCATTGCGGCGTGGTGTTTCGTCACGAGAAATGCGAGACTAAGAGAGATTAATCACAACACACTTATGATCACATCGTTTCCGTCCTTAGAGAGCACCGATACCTCTCGTGACGATCACTCCTTTTTCTCTCTCTCGTTTCTTGTTTCTGGCACTTTGCCTCGATGCAAAGTTGCTGACTAATCGCACTCCGTTTAAAACAGACACGTGGCCACGTTACACGTGCAGAGTCCGAGCTCTTGAAACGCGACGCGATACATCATTTACTCTACTTAGATATTTTACTAATTACAAGTTACATATACAGATTATCTAAATAATCTCGCGTCATATCTGAAACGTAAAATTTGATTTCAAGTTCCGTTTGAACTATACTCGAAGAAAATAACTTTCTCACTTTCTACATCTCTCTTTCGATATTCCTCCTCTTCGAGGAGCTTTGGACTTTCGCTGGAGGCGCTCAAATCGTCAGTTGCGTGTAAATTGAGCCTGGTGAGGTAACGTGAAATTTTATTACTCGCGCGAAAATCTCCCCGTGACAAATGCTCATCCTTGCGCGATAAATAACCGATCTGCAGTCACACGCACGCGCACGTACATCTTTAAGCACGTTGCGATTGATGATGTTCGCCAAGAACAAGTTGATACAAAATGGCTTTCTGACGAGCGCGCTATTAAACTCTGTCGCCGGTAACAGCGGCGATAATTTTGCTTCGTAATTGCGAGTGGACGGCATGAATATTTACCGCGGAATGCTGCTCGATGTCAAACACTAATGTCAGTGCTTGAAATCCGAGTGTCAAGCTAAATCGGTACAGTACAATCACCTCCCATTAATTTTTCAAAACAAATGGAAGTCATCAAATTAAGAAGACATCTCCAACGATCCGATTCGAATCTTGTATGATAAAATCCATTTTTTTCTTTCGAATATATAAAGCGAAGGACGACACGATCACAAACAGAATTAAAAAAAAAGAACTTCCGATTTAGACTGAGATTGGAGGTATAAGAATATTCGTAAGCACCAGTCGGAAAATTAGGAGGGAGAAATATGGAAAATTTAGAGGGAGATTATGATGGGAAAAACGAAGGGGACACTCCTCTCGAGGGTAAATTTCGTGGATTAGGCATCGTTACGGATCCGTGCTTACGCCACTGGCGCGAAAATCCACGCGAGGCACGCGCGCGGTCCGGCATAAGTCACAATTAACGAAGGCGTTAAGTCGGGCCCCTATTAATAAGCGTCGTCGAAGCGCTCCTATAAATAGTCCCGGGGGCACACGAGGCGACAACAGCATCGTCAGCGAGACGACGCGACACGACGCGGTGCAGGTCGCTAACGCACGCATCGGCAGCTCGCGCCGCTAAATGCGCCTATTTTCACCCGGATGACACATCGTCGCCGATTGGACGCGATCACGGGCTAAATAAGAGTGATCTCTCCGGACCCGGGAGAGGTCTTTCTCTCTCTCGAGCCACCCCCGACATCTCGCTCTCCTCACGTGGCGCGAACGATATGTGGAGTGCCCATAGGTCAGTTAGGTGTTCTCGCGAATAACAACGAAGCGGCAGGCAACACAGATGTAGATTTTCTATTTATAAATCGATTTGTCAAAGTGCCTGTCTCTAGTCTTACATTGTCGCACGCGCAACGATCGGTCACGTTTCGCAACGTGTAGATAGGTCTTTTCTAACGGAACTTTTTCAGCGTCTCTCTCTAAGAAGCGATCGGAACGTGTGAGTCAATCGCGATGCCAATTGGGCGAACGCCCCGATAGGTGCCCGTGTTGTTGTGCAATGTGAAAAAAAAAATAAGTGTCTCTTGGAACAGTCTTGTCTATGAAACACGATAGATCGTAGACTGTTTCGTCTATGAAACTTCATTAATTTTTCTCCTGATATCTTTATCTCAAATCAAATATTTCTTTTTCTATATTTTTGTACTCAAATCTCGAATCTTTCGAATGAATGATATAGTCGTTCCTTGCGATAATTCATACAGCAGTGCCTGAGCGACCAGGTCTCCTTCTGCGAGAGGAGGAAACGAGCCTCGCGAGGATGACGCGTGGGTGGAGGATGCGAGCCATTTACGCAGCATCGCAAGATCGTCGCTCGTGTCTTCTCTGGGTGGCGGTCTTTGTCTCTCTCGCGCGCGTAGACACGGGATTCCGCAAAATCTCTTAAATCGACTCGTGGGTGTCGATCCATCGCCGGGGGCCGACGATAAATGAGGAAACGGCCAACTAGCCGAGTCATTTCCACCATTTACGCGCGACGCGCCCCGCTTCGCCTCTATCACGAAAGTGCCCGGTGATCTCTCTAAGTCCTCATTCCCGGCAATTATAAATTATTCGTGATTAGCCGGCGTGACCGCACCGGAAGTAACGGCGCGACACGCTCTCCCTCGACGACGAGGCGGAGGATAAGCCGGATTTTCTGTGACAGAGACGCAGGGACCCTTCACTTGACCCTTTTGCCCCCGAAGTCATTTGACGTTTCGTGCCGGGGTCACTACTTCCGAATTGTTTCACGCGTTTTCAAGGTGCATGTTACTAATGCGTAACTTTCGTCAAAACAATGAGGAATTATCTTGCACCTATAATATTTTCGAGATCTCCTACGGTATTAATTAATTTTTGCATACGAAATGATATGTTGAATTAAGTGTATTATTAGATAAATGAATATGATTTTGTCTTGTAAAAATTGCACACTGTGAAAAATTCAAACCCAAGTGTCAAGCGACCCTGAGTTAACGAAGGAGTAACGACAGCGAGGTCCTGCTTGGACCTGCTTGTTGACATAGCCTAACGCGATCTAGGGTCGTCCAGGACCACGATCTTTCTCAAGCCAGTCAAGGCTCGTGGGTTAATGGTACGAGTTTTACCGTCTTCACTCGTTACTCGGGAATGAAATAAAAGAATGCGTAACAAGCGAGGTGAGACCGGCCAGATTCGTAGTGTCATTACGCGAATATACAATGAGCTCATAAGCTTGCTTTAAATGTGAGATCCTCTTCTCGCGAAGAAATTCTAAAGAGACACTGAAAAATTATCCAGACTTAAGATCGTGAAAAAAAAATCTCAGATTCAATTTTGATATCAAGGCACATTATTGACATTATTTCTGCTCCAAATTGATTTCAGAGGCCCTGGGAACCGGAAGTTCCTCATGGCACAGCGAGGATGGCGGGCCCAACTCGCGTCGCGGCGGCGAGACGCCGTCCTCCTGCGCGACGCCGACATCGGCCAGCTTCCCGTCGGAGCCCGAGGTCGACGCCGACGTCGGTGTCAATCCCGACGGCAATAATCCCGCCGCCCCGTACCCCTGCCAATTCTGCGACAGGACATTTCCGCGGCTCAGCTATCTGAAGAAGCACGAACAGGTAAGGACACTCGACACAGGACTCTTCCAACAATAGATATTCCCCAGTCCAAGATAACTCGTTATTGTTAAAAACAAAAGTTGCAAATACACGTCTAAGATTCGGATCGCAACGTAAAACGTTTAGAGAATAAAAAAATCTCTTCGCTGAAAGATCCATGGATACAAAGATGAAAAGGGTCGAGCGTTCCATCGTTTCTTCGCGATAGCTCAAAGGTACATCGATCCTCCTGGATTTCCGCGATTCGCAATGCTGCTGAGATTTAACAAAAATTGCCGCAACCTCAGGAGTATCACGCGTTGATGTAAGACAGCGGGGTTAGCCGCGTACGACCGAAAAGGGAAATACGAAACCGAGAGGATTGACGCTCGTCACACCAGGCATTAGTATGCTCGTTGCGCGAGCAGAACTCTGTTCGCGCCGTGTGAGAAAAAGTCCGAGGTGTCGCGCGATTCCGCGAGGTCGACGTGTCCCGTACGCGGTCAACGCGTTTCCGTCGCCGCGGAAGAGACGCGTGGCGAGTCCTCTCCTTCGGATTTTTTTTCCGTTTTGCATGGCGGTGGCACTATCTCGCTCTTCCGCGTCCGAGGCCGGCCATGACGCGGGGTCATCGTCGGGTCAGAATCTATACCGCCGTGCCCATAACAGGTTGTACCGGTTATCAGGTTATTCGTCCAGGTGGCGGCCGCCCCGTCGCGTCCCTTCTCCTTTTCACAACGCGAAAGCCCCCGCGCTGCTGGAATATATATATATATATATATATATAT